GGTAATTAAAAAAAAAAAAAGAAAATTACATAAAGTAGTCTATTGTAACCTGCATTGATACCTTAGTTTTATGAAATAAAATAGAACTATTGATTAACTTTTTTATACTTTAAAGTTCAAATATGTTTACACGCGTGCTGTTGGAATTAGAAAACGCATCTTCGAATGGCACTTTAACACAAATTTGCAAAAACAATGCGTTTATTCAATTGCAAAATGATATTTGTGTGTTACGTTCAATCTAGATGTTAATTTTAAAAGTTTAGTATTACATTGAATATATATTTAGTTTAAATATAAAATGCAACTTTTTAATTTTATGTTGCTTAAATTTATAAAAACCAGGTATGAAAATATTTTTATCTGTATTTTATTACTTAATACACAGTACGTATTGATTAATATAATAGAATGGTTCACGTAAAAATTTGTTACGTCAACATATCATATAACTTACTAATATCATCAGCACTGTGATGTGCTCTTGGAATATCATATCCTTTGTTTATCTGCGATCCAATACGTTTATACTTATTATTTAACTTTGCTTTGTTAATATCATGAATACTTAGTCTTATAGCAAAAGAGTCTTCTGGATATATCACAGATTTAGATTTAAAACCTTGTTGAATCTTTCCTTCGTTAAAAGTTTTAGAACGTGGTTTTCTTGGTTCAGGGTTGTCATAAATATGTTGTGCATGAAAATTGTCTTCTTTTGAAAAGTTTGCATTCATGTTTATGTATAAATCATTATCTTCATTAGACATAATACTACCACAATTTTTGTATGCATTCTCAATCTGCTCAATATTTTGTTTGTTGTTAGAAGATTGGTTTACATTATTTATGGTTGGTGTTGGATTCTTTTTTTTTGGTTGGGAATCAGTTAATGTACTATAGCGGTTTTCTTTTCTTTTGTTAATATCAAAACTTTCATCATCTGATTTCAGTTCAGGAATTTTTTCTGAATAGGCATATGGATTTATTTCTGAAGCTGTTGAATCAGCACGTTCTGGAGGGGGTGGTGGCCGGCGCAGTCTTTTTAATGAATTAATTCTTCTGAGAAAGATAATCGTTCTGCGCTTTTGTTTGACATACAAATATAATATTATTAAAAAGCTAATAATAATAACTGGTATTGTTATGCTGATTATTATGACATCTGTTTTCTTACCATATATTGTATTATTAGTCTTTTGTACTGTTGTTTCAAATCCACAGTAAACAATTTTTTCAAATAGAATATCATTTTCTTGTTTGTAGAAAACTGTAAGTGACAAATAATAATACTTTTTATCAAATAAATTTTCTAATACAGAATAATATTCTTTTGTATTTATTGGAAAGTTTCCCTCTTTTTCTTTGCAGTTAAGACATCTTACTAGAAAAGATACATTAACTTTTACATTTAGAAGGCCCTCTTCTTTCCAAGTCATCAATACCTTATTTTCATAAATTTTCAAAAATTCAATAGCAAATTTTGGTTCATGACATGTACTACTAGAGTTTTTTGCATGTATTATTTCTCTAAATGCATTAGTTCCACATTGACACTCTTTACGATCAACATCACTAAAAGATTTTTCTCCACATTTTTCACATTTTTGGTCTCCTATAATGTTTTTATAATATCCAAATGGACACTTTTCACATTTTTCTATATTTAAAGTATAGCCCTCTTTGCAAACACATTTTCCAAACTCTTGTACAGTGCCATTTGAATAACATTCTGCATATAAATTATCTTTATAAACAATTGAATTTCGAGAACATGTACCATTAATTTTCAGGATTTCTACTTGAGAGCTAGGTGCATTATGTTTGTTGTATTTTATAGAATGATGTCTAGAATTTTCGCAAGTATAATAATCCATAGATATATAATTGATTGTTCCACAAAAGTTGACATAGTGAAACTCAACTGAAAAGTTTGTATAGTCTTTCGTTTCAATTTTTGTTTCAAATGTTTTTGTGTTATATTGGTTATTAGTGCTTATTTCAAATTTGCTAATGTAACCTTGAGTACTTTCATTAATGCTTTTTTTTGTGCAAAATAATAATAAAAAATGAACACCATCAAATATAGTTGCAGAAAACTTAATTGTTATTTCATTGATGCCATCAACTAATAATTGTTCGCTTTCTAGTTTACAGAGATTCGTTTCTTCAATGCATTTACTTCTCCATTGATTGTTGCTTAGTTCAAGAGTATTAGAACAGTTGCTCATTTTCATTAGTTTTGTAATGTTATTTGCAATAAGTGCTTCATTAGACATACCAAAAAACATAGTGAAAAAAGTTGCAGTAACGAGCTCCATATTTTTTGAATACTTTTCTGCATAGAATTATATATATTATTTATTCCATGTATATATATATATATATATATATATATATATATATATATATATATATATATATATATATATATATATGTGTATATATATATATATATATATGTGTATATTTTCACAAACACACACATATATATCTATGTATATAAAACTAAATGTATATACATTTATATGTTTACATATACGTATTTATATATAAAACTATATATATATGTGTTTTTATATATATGTGTATGTATATATAGATATATATAAGTGTATATATATATATATATATATATATATATATATATATATATATATATATATATATATATATATATATATATATATATATATATATATATATATATATATGGATATATATATATGGATATATATATGTGTATATATATATATATGTATATATATACATATATATATATATATATATATATATATATATATATATATATATATATATATATATATATATATATATATATATATATATACATGTGTATGTATATAGATATACATACACATGTATATGTATATAAATACACAGTTCACTTAAAAATAAAATATATTAAGTTGTTGTTGGCAAATGTTTTTCTATCTTGTTAAAAATGATTAATGTGATGATCTCAATAATGTTTTAATTACTTATGAATCAATGATCATTCACTAATATTTTAATCTTTGAAGTTTAAGGTATGAATCATAAACAGTTTTATAGTTTTTAGTCATGCAGATAGCTGGTTGGTTTGAATTCATAAAGTAACATGTAACAAGTGTATCGTTTTAATTATTAAAAGAGTTCTTTTCATAAAATAATTAATTATTCTTCATATTGCATAAGTTGCAATATATGAATAAGTCTCTGAAACCATGTGAATTGTGAATAGTTAGTTTTTTAACTTTTTTTTTTCCTACAATAATTATATTTTATCTAAAACAGTTCTTATAAAGAAAATATTTTACTAATAAAACCTAATTCTAAAAATAAATTATGTAATAAACAAAATAAATAATACAAATAGATATAATTGATAAGAAATAGCATACATTAAAATAAGTTTAAAATAAGTTTAAGTGATATAAGAAAAGTTTTTAATATAATTTATTGTTTCGAAACTAATGTAAATTTTAAGCAATATTTATAGATAAAGAATTTATCTTAGTTTTTTTATGTGGTCTTCTTCTTTCAGCCAATACAGGCATTGTTATTAGTATGCACCAATTTTAAAAGCTTTTTTTAAATATAATTTCAGGTCACTTAAAAACAAACTTAAAGATATATCAAAACTTGTCATTTTTTTATCAATAGAGTAAAGATTAATTATATTGATTTTTTAAATGAATTTGTAGTTAAATATTTATATTTTTATTTTTTCCTAGATACTAAAACACTCTAGGTATTATTAGACTCCATGTAGCAATAAAAAACTTTTGTATCCTGCGATGGATACAGCGGTTTTTAAGGTATCTTCATATAATAACAAAATGTATCCATGTAAGGACTCCGCGTAATAACAAAATATATCCTGTGATAACAAGGATTAAAAAGTTTTCTTATTTTTTATACAATTGTTAAACTTCACATAACAGGATTTCTATAGCATATGAATTATTAAATTTCTATTGAAACTTATTTAATTTCAATAAAAGTAGCTATAAAAATTCACTATTTTTACATTTATTATATAAAAAATCTAATTTAGTATATAGTTTCTTATGAAATTTTATTTGAATTTATATATATTTTAGTTTATCAGCCAAAATAGTTGTAAAATATTTATAATGAACAATATATAAGAAACTAAGTCTCATGATGAAAACCTTGTTTTATCCCTAAGTGTACAAAAAATAAAAGATGTTGTTTTTCATAACATCTTATATTTTTTGATTATCAGATAATAAGCTTTTAGATTCAAGATGAGACATTAGAAGTTTGTTTATTAAGACTCAGACCTGGCTACATTTAGGAAAAAAAAATTATTGAACAATACTTTTTAGGATCAACTATTTCAAATGTTTTGAGAAAATAGGAATACCTGCTGCTGCCATGCTTTTATTACTTTTGATTGTTTTTAAAAATATGCAAGCATCTCCACCTTTTAAATGCATAAACATCTTAAAAAGTAATAGTTTGTCAACATACCAGTTGCAGCAAATATAGATGGAATTAAGATTAAAAAAGGTGTAATAAAAATTAATTTTTTCAATTGATGTGAAATGCATATATATGTATGAAGACATGTTAACTTTTTATGTTTTTTCTTTTTTTTTTTTATATTGACAAAAATAGTTTACTAACAGTTATCAGTTTCTTAATGACAAAAAAAAAAAAAAAAAAAAAAAAATTCAACAATACAAAAATGATGAAAAGGCTGTGTTCAAACTCAACATAAAATTAAAATTGCAATAAGCAAATAAATCTAAGCAGTACTGGATGCCAAATCAGACCAAGTGCAAATTTTTTTAAACAGATTTTTAGTCAGATATGTTTCTCAATAAAGGTTAAAAGGAACATTTTGAGGATTGTAAGACAATTTTTTGTAAATGTATCAATCCCCACATTTAGAACTCTGCTATTTGTTTGGCACCTAAAAGTAGTTGCTTCAGTATTTTTTTAATTGTTAATCAAAAAGGTATTTTATTTAGGTAACATAAAAAAATAAACCATTGTTGTCTTGATGTGGTTGGTTTATAAACTTTGTCAATACTGTGCTTACTTCGATGAATATTGCTCAGCATATTTTGGCTTTTGATGTTAGATATAGCAACTATAGGACAAACACTGATCCTCAACACAGTGAGTTTTGTTTTGATATTATAATTTGTTTCATTGAATGTATTTTTTCATTTTAATTTTTTTATTTTTATCTATTATGAAGCGATGTAGGGGGATGTCTAACCCCTCTAGGCAATTTTTTTTTTTTTAAATTAGACTTAAGGGGTAAACAGATTCTATCTGTTGAACAGCCTCGCACCCCTTCCTCATCTATTAGGCTGGCGCAGATGTATTTTTAATACATTGTTTCCAGTTTAGGATGTTGAACGCTGGATCTTCTTGACTCAATGCATGGGTATTGCTTGTGTCTCTATTTTTACGACTGGGCAACTCATTCTATTATCTCCTAATGAGGGTACAGCTCTAAAACTCAGTTTTATGGTTCTGAGGCCGGCTGGTAGTCAGGTTTCCCGAACTCTGTGGTAGCTCTCAGAGAGGCTGATTCCATCAACAGCCGAAAAATATCAGAGTACTAACAGTGCCATGTTGCGCATGGATGGTGTCCCTGTTTGTACTGTTGGTGTGCATTGCAGAGGCCACATTTGGAGCCCTTTGTTACGGCTTAGGGTTTATTAATAGTAATGAGGCTATTGCTTAGTTGTTAAATAGTGTACTGAGTACTATCTATACTTGAGTCAAGTTCTTTATAAATTCAAAATGACTAAAGTACCTAAAACTAAAAAACACAAAAAACCATCGTCATCACCAAGTTCTCTAAACCTATCATTTACTAATATTCGTGGTCTTCGAAGTAACTTTTCTTCTGTTGAGTCTTATCTCTTACAAAGTTCACCAAACCTACTTGCTCTTTGTGAGACTAATTTGAGTTCGGCTGTCCCATCTTGTAATCTCAGTGTTGATGGTTATCTTCCTTTAATTCGTAAAGACTCCAATAATCACATGCTTGGCCTGGGCATCTACATTCGTAAGAACTCACCCATTTGTCGTGAAACTAGGTTTGAATCTACAGACTATTCATTTATGTGCTTTCGTTTAGCACAACTTCACTCTATCGCCTTTCTCTTTGTTCTATATCGCTCTCCTTCATCCCAAGATTGCACTATTCTTGATGCTATTTCTGATCAAATTGACCAAGCCCTCTCTCTTTATCCATCGGCCAATATCGTCGTTGTTGGTGATTTTAATGCCAATCACACCGATTGGCTTGGCTCTAGTGTCAGTGACTCTGCTGGCGTTAAGGCCCTCAACTTTTGCCTTTCTCAATCTCTAACTCAAATAGTCAACTTTTCAACTTGTTTTCCAGACAACCATAATCATTTACCTTCTCTACTCGACTTATGTGTTGTTTTGGATCCTAGTCAGTGCTCAATTTCTCCACATTCACCCTTAGGTACTTCTGATCACGGTTTGATCTCTTTAAAACTATTATCAAACTCTTCTACTTCATCAGAATCCCCCTATCATCGTACCACGTACAACTACCTTAAAGCTGACTGGGACTCTTTCCGTGATTTTCTTCGTGATGGCCCTTGGGTAGAAATCTTTCGTCTTCCTGCTGACAAATGTGCTTCTTACATAACTTCGTGGATTCAGGCTGGCATGGAATCTTTTATTCCCTCTCGACGATTCCAGGTCAAGCCTCACTCTTCTCCTTGGTTTTCCTCACATTGCGCTGCAGCAATTTCTAATCGAAACCGTTACTTCCATATCTATCAGCAAAACAATTCTCCAGAAAACAGACATCTGTTCACTATCGCCAGAAACCATTGTAAAAAGGTTTTGTCTGATGCCAAAGCTCGCTATTCTCAGGTCATTAAATCTCGTATCTCATCACAAAAATTAGGCTCTCGAGACTTCTGGAGAATCTTTAACAGTATCAATAATAAGGGCAAATCTGTTATTCCTTCTCTCTTGTATGGTTCAGACTTTGTCACCTCACCTAAAGACAAAGCTGAATTGTTTGCTAAGAACTTTTCATCAATATCATCTCTTGATTCCTCTAGTTGCGTTTTACCTGACATAGCTGTCAAACAGGTTGATCCCTTGCTTGACATTCGCATCACTTCAGCTTCTGTATCAAAAGTAATTTCCTGCTTAGACTCTTCAACAGCTTGTGGTCCTGACAACATTCCTGTTGTAGTCTTGCAGAGGTGTTCTCCGGAGCTTTCATCCATACTTTCAAAACTATTTAACAAGTGCTTATCAGAGTCTTGTTTTCCATCATGCTGGAAAGCAGCATCTGTTATCCCTATTTTCAAAAATTCTGGAGAGCGATCTGATTCATCTAACTACCGTCCCATTAGTCTTCTTCCTGTCATAAGCAAGGTTTTTGAATCTTTAATCAACAAACACTTAATCTCTCATCTTGAATCAAATAACTTACTTTCTGATCATCAATATGGATTTCGGTCTTCTCGTTCTACAGCTGTTGTGCTAACAGTAATAAGCGATAGGTTTTACCGTGCATTAGATAGAGGTGGAGAGGTTAAGGCTATCGCACTTGACGTTTCTAAAGCTTTTGATAAAGTTTGGCATGCTGGTCTTCTCCATAAGCTTTCTTCTTATGGTGTAGCTGGTAACATCTTTAAGATTATTGAGTCCTTTCTTTCCAATCGTAGTATAAAAGTTGTCCTCGATGGACAACACTCTTCTTCACATCCTGTAACTTCAGGGGTTCCTCAAGGTTCAATCCTTGGCCCTATACTCTTTTTAATTTACATTAACGATCTTCCAGATATTCTCACATCTAAGGTGGCATTATTCGCTGACGACACTACCATTTACTCTTGTCATGAAAAGAAGCCTACACTCTCTGATTGCTTGGAGGGGGTATCTGAGCTTGAAAAGGATCTCACTTCTGCTACAGCATGGGGCTCACAGTGGCTGGTGAACTTTAATTCAGATAAAACTCAATTTTATTCGGCCAATCGTTATCGTAATAATTTAGATCTTCCTATATTTATGAATGGTAATGTACTAGATGAGTCATCTACCATTCATCTTCTAGGATTAACTCTTACTTCTGATCTTTCTTTTAAACCGTATATCAAATCCATTGCAAAATTAGCATCTGCTAAGGTTGCATCTCTTTATCGAGCTCGAAACTTTCTTACTCCAGATTCTATTCTCTATCTCTATAAATCTCAAATCCGTCCCTGTATGGAATACTGTTGCCACATCTGGGGCGGATCTTCTAATGATGCTCTTTCTCTTTTAGACAAGGTGCAAAAACGAATTGTAAACATAGTTGGACCTGCTCTGGCAGCCAATCTCCAACCTTTGTCACATCGTCGTAATGTTGCTTCTCTTTCTCTTTTCTACAAATACTATAATGGGCACTGCTCTAAAGAGCTAGCGTCCCTTGTGCCATCTACTAAAATTCATTCTCGTGTTACTCGCCATTCAATTAAGTCTCATCCTTTTTCTGTGACTGTTCCTAAGTGCTTCAAAAACTCTTATTCTTCTAGTTTTTTTCTTCGAACATCAGTTCTTTGGAATTCGCTTCCTTCATCTTGCTTTCCTGATTCATATAATTTGCAATTTTTTAAATCATCAGTCAATCGTCATCTTGCTCTACAGATTTAGTCTTTTCTCTTCCAGTAACTTCCAACTCTTATAGTGGTTGCTTGCAGCCTTGTTGGAAGTGAAGATGTTAAAAAATATTTCAATTATTCTCTAAAAAATAGACATTATTGTCACAATTTTGAAACATGTTTATTAAATAATTTAGTAAGAAATAATTGTTACAAAAATCTTGCAATAATATATATGCAGCGTGGAAAATAACGGCCAGTCAATGACTGCCCAAAATGAGTAAAATTGCTATTTTTGCCTCCCAAAACAATTTCTTGCCAGTCATGGTTGACCGGTTAAAAAATAATCAGAGTTTTGAAAAACAAGATTTGAAAAATAATCAGATTATTATTTGGAAAAAACATTTACTAAATTATCATATAATCATTAAGAAGAGAAAAATTATCATTTCAAGATCACTGGTGCTTATCACATGGCTCGCTGGATGGCCAAGGTTATTTATTGTTTTAAGATTTATTTATTTCGTGAAGAGTTCAAGTTGACCACAAAAGAGGAAAAAAATCTCTGTGAATTTTGCTTATTTGCTAGTAAGCTAACTCTTAGATGGTAATAAGCATCAAATTAATCTATGAACTAACAGTACAATTTAGATTCTTTCCAAATTTGAAATAATTTTTTTTTTCTAAAAAATATTTAGTAAAATTTGCACGTTTTCATAAGAATTGAGGAATTTTTTGGATTAACTCGAACTTTTGTTATCTTGGGCTGTTTTATTAGGTCCCTTGAAATTGTCCATATGATTCCTATTAAAATTCTCCAGTTAAGTCAATCCTCAGATAAGTCAAACTTTAAATAACTTGAACTTTGTTAAGTCAGTTCAAAATAACAGTATCCTAATTTTTTCTAAAAATTACCTTAATTTGAACAAATATTTTATATGCTAAAGTTTGTCTTAATGGAAATAAGCTTTGGTCAAACATTCGTTAAGTCAAACAGTTTGCCTTGGTCCCATGGAGGTTCTAGTTATCGGAAATTAACTGCAAATACAGGAGCCACTCTTTTTTTTTTTTAAACATTTTAGCATTAATTCTTTAAATTTCAGGTGATTTTTAAACTCTTCGAAATCAAATCATATTCCATTTTAACCCCTCCTGTTGAATTGCAGATCTCTTATGAAAGAATATATTCAAATTCACTCAACCAGTGTACAGTGATATAAGATTTAATTTTGATTAAAATCAGTGTTTTGCAAAAAAAAAAAGATTTTTAAATAATTTTTTTTTTACTTTTTTAAATTTTTATAAGTAATAAAAAAAGACCTTTATGCAACATTATATTTAAGTTAAATATTATATTTAAGTTGAAAGTTCATTTATATAAAAAGGTTTAATTTTATAATGAAAATTAATTCAATGTTTATGTCCATTTTACACTCAGCATTTTGTTTATTAATGTATAGTTTTAATTTAAAAATTCTTTTTTCATCCTGTTAAGCAAGTGCTTATCTTTCACTTTTTATGCATAAATGAGAGAGACCTGTAGGATATTACATTTTTAAAGACCCTTTTTAGTATGGTAATATTATATTTGGTTCTTATTAGTGCTTTAAACAAAAGTTTCGAATCGAGATAGTGCCTACTCTGCTAAGAATATCGTTTCTATATAAAAGCTATTGTAAATAATGAGTGCTACAAATGGTGCAATCTAGTCAATTATAATGATAATTAGAAAATTTATTTATAAATTGATTATAGTTGTTATTAAAAATAGTTCATTAACTTAGTTGATAAAAAGATCAGTCATTTGCAGTTTGCAGAAGTTTACACTTCGGCAATTGCCCCCTCCTATTAATATTTTTAATTATAAAGATTTAACTGTTGTTTGAAGTGGAGAAGTTAAAAGTACCATTATATTGCAGATAACAAAAACAGATTCTGAGATAAAAATAGTTTATTAGATGTTAGAAAAATGATATTAACTAAAAAGTTAAATTAATATATCAGAAAGGTTAAAAAATAATATTAACTAAAAGTCAAATTAGTCACATGATGTCATAAAGATTGAAAAATATTGCAAATAATTTTAAAATTTTGTACAGTTTTGGTATTTCTCAATTGTTTATTAATTTTACCTTTCTACAGTTTTTTAAAAAAAATAGATTTTTTTTGTTGGTTTCTAATATTTGTAATATTGTAATGATAAATAGTGTTATAATTATAAATAATAATATGCAACTGTTACAAGCATTAGGTGTAAATCTAATGCTGGTAGTTGTTTGTTATTGCTTGTGTTAATGACATTACATTCTGTGTTAATATGTTTTCATGATAAGAATTTTAATGGAAATATTGCTTAATAAAGTTACTTTGATTTCAAGCAACAATAGTTTAACAACAAATTTGTATTTAGAGTTTTTATTTTTTTAAGGAACTTTGTACATAAGACGTCGTTCACAACTATTAAGAGATCTAGCTAAGAAAGACGTATGTGTTTATTTATTTTTCTTATTTATAAACTTAGTTGGAATTATGAATTTACAATTTGTTTAATAAAGATATTTAATAATAACTAATGATAATATTTAATGTGTTTGCTAATTATTTATAGTTATATCGAAATACTTTTTTTTAAAATTTATGCAGCATATTACTTAGTTAAAAAATCAGGGTTAAGTGGGCTGATACAATTATTTAAGGACTTATTTGCTGATTTATTCACTGACTTAAATGATTTGAAACAATTTTTTATGAAATTAATCATGTATATATATATATATATATATATATATATATATATATATATATATATATATATATATATATATATATATATATATATGTGTGTGTATATATCTTATACTGCTGAGTTAGGTGAGCATGATGACATCATACTGAAAAAGCCTGCTGTGGGGGCTTCAGTACATACATCGACTGACAAATAGCCTGACTCGCAGTGGAGTGCTGCTACATCGACTGAGGGTTTGGTATGGGTCAGCAATCTTTTTATTCATTGTTCTTCGTTTTCTCTCATCATTTTCTCAAAACGCTCAAAAAAAGTGAGCAATTGCGCATATAAAATATACAAAAAAAGTGAGCAATTGCGCATATAAATATTGCTGCCCAAATTAAAAATTAAGTACTTTTTTCCACGAAAAAAACTGATATATCCGCTAAATTTCTCCAGGACGGAAGGATACTGCCGCCCATATTTTTTTCCTAGAATATATATATATATATATATATATATATATATATATATATATATATATATATATATATATGTATATGTATATGTATATATATATATATATATATATATATATATATATATATATATATATATATATATATATATATATATATATATATATATAACAATAAAATATTATTTTGGAGAAAACATTCTTTATACATAAAATCCTAAAAATTTAATGAAAGTTACCAAAACTTATTTTAAATTTAAAATTAGACATATTTAATGAAGGAAATAGAACCTTACAAATTTTTAAATGGGATGGAGCTATTAATTAAACAGGAAGCCTGTTTTTAACAAAATTTATTCATCATCAAAAGTATAAGTTGTTAAAAAAGAACAGAGTATATATCTTTTAAACAAATTTTTTTTTCAGTTAAAAAAATGCAAATTTTTAATTATAAAGGATCAGAGTATATACCTTTTCAACATAATTTACTTAAAAAGCAACAGTATATTAATATTTAAATTAAGTTTATATTTTTTCAATAAAATTTACTTAAAATTATAGATATTTAAAATAACTATAGATATTAAAAGAATATATATCTTTAACATTTCTTTTAAACACATTCTTTCAACATTATTTTTTCAACACATTTTATGGTTACACTAACTACAAGCAGATTTAATTTATGTATTTCATCATGACTGTACACCACTTTACTGGCATGTACAACATTCTTTCTCTCTTAACAAGCCAAGTCATATTATATTAAAGTACACCACTTGCTACACAATTTTGCTGTAAACTAAGTCACACCAATTTGAAACCATGTAAACAACATAATAACCACTTACAAACTATATACACATAACATTATAGCTTATCACAAACATAGAAACACTTCATATATAAAAGATATTTACACACTTACAAAATATAAACCTATATAACCTTAACACATAAACACATAATAAATAACACATAAATAAAACTAAATATATAAATTAAGGAAAACAAATAAATTAAAAGCATTTATAAAATACAACCTGATTTGTTTAATGACATACATTGTAATAAATGTTTAAAAACTTTAAAAAAACTAACGATCAAACAACCTGGTTTTTTATATTATAAAGCAAACAGGTTTTCTTTAGTTTCTTTGAAATTAGATATTAAACGATCTTGTTCTTTCCACCCAACAGAAATGGTCATGTGAGTTTTGGAGATATACACTAAATTTATCAAGAGTTTGACCTTTTAAAAAGAACATCATTTTCTAGAGTCATCATCCTCTTTTAATTTTTGAAAATAAAAAATAACAGATTAATATACTTTAAATACAATTGACAAAAGACTTTAATTGTGTTAGTTTTAATATGCATGAATTAAATAAATTACCTGACTTTAAAAGTTCTAAATGCATGAATTAAATAAATTACCTGTCTTTAAAAGTTACTACACTCATTAAAAGATAACTTAAGGTTTATCCTTTACATCAAATTAAAAAGTTTTCGATCTTATTACTTAGTAAGCAGCTATTAACAGATTATAAAGATTTAAGAATACCTGGTCAAATGGTCAAAAATTTAAATTAAAAGGCCAAGTATGGTAAAAACTCCATTTCAAAGGCACACAAATAGGTAACAGCAGCAGCAGTGTTAATTTAAGTATTAATAATAATTAATTATTTAAATTTAGAAATTAAACATTAATGAAATTTAGATGACATATAAAATTAAGTTTGAAATGAAAACATTTGGATGAATATAGAAGTTGTTAAAAGTAAAACCAACGTATAAATATAAATCTCTATTTAAAATTAGTTATATTAAATAAATGCACATAATTTTTACTTTAAACTCTAAAACATTTGTTTCTTTTAGCATGATACATCAATCAGAAGAAATTATTTGCAAATTCGTAAGCAACTGTTAGCCAAGAAATATGGATCAATACCTGTAACAGAAAGTCTGAAGTAAAATATTTTCCATTTTAATCCTTTATCCATAATTAATCTTTAATTGTAGTTGTAATTTATAACCATTGCCATCATCATCAACATCATCATCATGTGTTTTAACATTCTTGTTAAAACATAGTTGATGATGATTCCAATCTTCATAATTTCCTGAGTTTTTTTAATTCTTTTTTTGCTCACCTCATAAGTGAGAAGTTTCGAGTTCAATCTCCAGCACATCCCTGGTAGTACTGTGCTATTTCTTTGCGTAGCGGCCTTGTTTATCAAGGCTTGTGTTTTAAAGTTATTGAATTGAGAGTGGGTTGTAAAACAACATGGAAGTTAAGAAAAAATAAGCAATTTGGAGAAGACTAGTTTTTAAGAAAATCCTTAAATTATTTGATGTTGTAGTTTTATTTTTAAGCAATTAAATTAATTATATAAAATTAAATAGAATTTAAAAAAGTTGTATAAAATATCATGTGCAGTGGTCGAGGGTAATGTATTTTTTCAATAAAAAAGTGTATTACATGCTAACTAAAATAAAACAACAGTGTTGATTTCATCGTAAACAGTTATAAGTATTGTTGCTTTTATAATAAATATTATAAGAGTTACTAGGTGAGATCGTACCTGTAAAAGTACGGGTCTTTGTAAGTCTATTCCAAACCAAACTTTTCTATACATTTTCCTTATATATCCTAACTTTTCTAATCCATAAAATACGGGTACTTACCAAACCTACCAATTCTATACATACTATGCTATCCACTCGGCCACGCTGGCACATTGTCTTACTGAAATTTTAAAATCTATTTAACGGAAATAAATGCTATTGATCAAAATTAAGTAGATGTTGCCATACACTTTTGTTCACGTTTTCTAATAACAAAAAGGGCTGCCACTTTTTCTAGCCACTACCTTAGTTGCATGGCTGCCAAGGTTTCCGTGTCAAACAGGCTCAAATGGGCACTAACGCTACAACTATTAAGTTTGGCAATAGTATATAGAGATATATTTGTTTTAATAATATTGAGAATCAATTTTATCCTTATATCAAGATCTACTTGATAAAGTATTGAGTTTGCAACTTTTAATGCAATTGTTGATAAGCATTGCAACTTTGAAACAATTTGCTGAACTCCAAATGTCAAACGACTACTATAGTCAAGGAGAAAATCTATTTCGATAATTTTTTTCTTTTTTCAACACTTTTACATTCCTAAAGATAATTTGAGCGGGTTACTACAAGGAATGTGTTAGGTTTGAATTCCTGTACCTCTTGCATATGTGAGTGCTCCAACATCATATCATTGCCACATTCAAATTTTACTTTCTATTTAAAGTTTTTAATAAATTTTACTTTAGTAGTAATTTTTGTAAACCTAAAAGTTAAGATTGCTTATTAATGACTTGTTTATCACAATGATGTCATTAGCTTAATACTATAATATAATACAATATTATCTTTATTAATTAAATTTAATATATTTTTACATTTTATCTTTAGGTCATTTAGTGTGAAGAGTCACAGTTCAATTGAGGTAAAATTAACTTTTTTGTTACTAATTTCATAGTTATTGTTCTTATGTTTTCTGTAGGGATTAGTTATATAAAATATACTTAATTATATAATAATATTTAAGAATGTTTAGTAGATAAATTATCAAACTCATTAAATATTTTGTTTGTAATTAGTTCTCAGTAAATCATTTTAACTGGATCACACTGTTGATGTGTAAATATGTTTGGTTTAATCATAAAGAATCAATCATATAATCATAAATAATCACCTCTCTCTCTCTCTCTCTCTCTCTCTCTCTCTATATATATATATATATATATATATATATATATATATATATATATATATATATATATATATATATATATATATATATATATATATATATATATATATATATATATATAAATAAATATATATATATATATATATTTATATATATATATATATATTTATATATATATATATATATATTTATATATATATATATTTATATATATATATATTTATATATATATATATATGTATTTATTTATATATATATATATATATATATATATATATATATATATATATATATATGTATATATATATATATATATATATATATATATATATATATATATATATATATATATATATATATATATATATATATATATTCTACATTTAAGGTAACTTCAAAATTTTCATTTTGGGTTCCTTTGAAAATCACGAGGTATAGAGATGGCAATAGTTGTTAAAAAATATATTGGCAATGTTTTTTTGAAACATTAATAAATCCATAAAAGTCAGATACCATCAAAAAACAGTTAGATAAGCTAACACAACAGACAAAAGTGTAAAGATGATGAAATAAAATGTATGAATAAAATATCCAATGGCAAATGTTATCTCCAGGCAAATTTAAATCATTATGATTAATCTCTCTGACATAATCTCCAAACTGCTCAAAACAAAAAGATGTATCTTCAACTGGAGGGTCTTTCCTATTGACATAGCCAGCAATGTAAACCAAAGACTTTTATTTTTTTAGGCAATTGCTTTTAATAACTGGAAGATTATGAAACACATTGAACAAAATATCATCTTGCAATACATAATTACATTTGTGACACAAATGGCTTGATAATACTTCTAAATCGTTAGCAGTGATACCAATATTTAGACAAAGTTTTGTTTTTTTAATGTCGACTTTTTGTAATATTTGCTGAACATTTATAAAATAGGTACCACCTGATCCTTGCTAAATTTTTCCAAATGTTTTCTTAATAGGGTCACTAGTAAAATGTTCAAGGCAAACATACTTATGACTTGTAGTTAGTAAATCTTTTACTAGTTCAACCATCCCACGAAATGTATGGGAAAAAGCACGAGAAGTATCTTTGGTTAAATTTTTTAGTCTATGATCTTGTTTTTCAGACGCCATTTTTTTGACCATATCAGCCAAATTTAAAAGAAAGTTCAATCGTTTATCATTGTTTGATGAAAAAACAGCACGATATTTATCTCTAGTACAAATATCTTCATAAAGTCCTTTAACACTAACAATTTTAAAAAATTTGATAAAAATAGATAAAAACACTGTGGTGTCTTTGACATTTTTTATGGATGGATGAGTTTTTATAGCAGCTACAGTCTCATCAAAAAATCCTCTTGAACATTTTACACATTTTGACATTCAATTGGTTTAGGAAAAACTGCTGTTTCATTAAGTTTAGAGTGTTTCACAATAGCATCTTTTTCTAATAGAAAAAGTTTTTTAAATTCTGACCATTTTGCAGTTCTTGAAATACCTTTGTAAGCATAGTTCTTGGGATTTTTCTGTGAGCCAATTGTTGCAAATAGATTTTATTAAATGAACAAAGTCATACAGAAGAAAAATATTATCCAAGTATTATGGAGATTGAACATTCCAAAAAACTTTTTATTTATTTTGTTATTGTCCCAAAGAATAGCAACAACAGAACCACCACATTTTTTTATCGCTTCAAATGTTTGCACTGTTTGATCATATTGAAAATTAGCACCTAAACTTGTTACTGGTAATGCTTTATACAAAAACTGATTTCCACCAAATAAAGAACAAATCATTAAACCCAAAACTGTTTTTGCTAACTCATTTGGGGAATTTACAGATTTACCAAAAATGTTACCTCCTTGATATGTTTTCTGTGGTTTAACATAAATTTTATTAATTAGTAGAATAATTTGTCTTTGAGATAGAGCATTTCTCAAAATACAACTTAAAAAATCATCATTTCCAACATTTCTAACTTTAGATGTCAACTTTGTCATCAAAGATGTACTTGGTAGTTTGTAGTCATCACGTAATCGAGAGTAAAGAGTTTTTGATAATGAAAAGTACTCAAATGCCCTAGCAACATATCAGGAGAATACTTTTTCCCACTAATAAGCATTAATGAGTTCATACTTAAAGGAACTACCAAGTCCTGAGACATGTTGTGTTCATATTAAAGAGAATGTTAAAAAAAAACGTCTGAGCAAATTTTTTTTGATTAAAACTAATTAATAAATGTATACCAAGAAAAACAAATCTTGTTGTTTTAGTCGAAGCTCGTCTTCTCCGTTTTCTCTGGTATTTTGAGTATGTAAAATAAACGCGATTTTTCAGGCGCATTATACAGACTTGATAATTTATTCAAGCGTGTTTAATTCATAGGAGTTTTAGTGCATGACATTTTTTTTGTTTAAAACACCGATTGTTATTTTTTACATACAATTTCCAAATCATATTCATTTTTATTATATTTTAAAGTTCTAAAATGTGTTTGTAAAACAAAATTAAAAACAAAATAAAATTAAAAACAAAAATAAAATAAAAAACAAAATAGTATTTTATTTGCGCAACTTTTTTTAAATAATCGTCTAGACCACGTGTATTTTGATTTCTTTTGTTATAAGTTTTTCTTTCAAAATAGTAGATAAAATAATTTTTAACCTAAATAATAATGCACTTTTATTAATTTATTTTGTAAATATTAAAAAAAAAATTATTAACGCATTTTTCTCTGATTTTCAAAAATGTATTTTTTGGTATTGAGGTGATCTCATTTCATTATTTATATTTCCATTATTATAACATACAATATATATATTATGGCAGGGGCTTAAAAATTAAAAAATTAATATATATTAATTTTTATTTTACAGACATACATGGAAATATAATTAACTTGAATGTTCTTAAAACATCTTGCGGAAGAATAAAAAGAATATTCGCGAACATTAAAAACCCGCCAAATTTGCGAACAAACTAATTCTATTGGTTCAAAAAACACGCTGACTAAGCGAAATATAGTTCTAGAGTATTCTGTTGAAATGTTTTAGGAATTGTATTATTTACAATTTGTTGCGTTTTGAGATATCAGAATATCTAGCATAAATTTTTTTAAGAATATAAAAGTAATAGTTCATTATCAAATGAACTATTACTTTAATATTATTATTATTATTATTATTATTATTATTATTATTATTATTAAGGTTTACAAATTGGATTTGTATAGGCATGAAATGCCTGTCAACCTGTCTTATGATTACTATATAAATATACTAGTCATAAATTGTTTTTTCTTCTTTTAGATAATTGTCGAGTTTGTTTTTAAAATTGTTTACGGAAGTAGCATTTACAACGTCATTATGGCTCATTCTCGGAGCCACATCTGTAAAGCCGTAAATCTTTTAAACTATTATCATTTGTTTACAAAAATAAATGTTTTATAATATATATTTTTTAAATTGTCCAAATTTTGAAAGTTAATTACAAATTATATATTTTATTAGTATATTCTTAATTTTTATATCTTTTCTTAGTGCTTGGTTTAATTAATTGTTCGTTAGATTTGTAAAAAACTAACAAACAATTAATAAAATAAACTTTTAATAAAATAAATAACTATAGTTAGCTATTTTAGTAAAATTTATTAGTAAAATTTTTAAAGAATTTCTAGAATGTTTCCAATCATGTCATGCTCTAAAACTCTGATGAATTAAACACGCTTGAATAAATTGAATAAGTCTGTATAATGCTCCTGGAAAATCGTGTTTATTTTACATACTCAAAATACCAGAGAAAACAGAGAAGACGAGCTTCGACTAAAACAACAAGATTTGTTTTTCTTGGTATACAATTTTTAATTAGTTTTAATCAAAATAAATTTGCTCAGACATTTTTTTTTAACATTCTCTTTAATATGAACACAACATGTCTTGGGACTTGGTAGTCCCTTTAACATCTGTTCAATAATAATATTTTTCTTGTGATCAGATATTTTTGCAGCATCATAATAATATTTTTCTTGTGATCAGATATTATTGCAGCATCGAGTTGGCTAATACAGTCAATAATATTCATATGATTGTAAGAAAAAGGTTTTATGGTGCACTCAACACTACAGTGATAGCTATCAAAGGATAAATCATTTTTTACTTTGAAAATAAATCTTTGGAACACCCAATTTCTCCAATATATCAGCAGATTGAAGATATAAACAGTTTTCATTGATACTTGATATTATTGAGTAGTAAAAAGATTTTAGACATTATTTTATTACACAAATCTTCGAAAGAAGAAATAATATCAGCTTTCACAAAAGCCTCTATTTCATCAGGCAAAGTACTTCTTAAAGATGGCAATGAGTTAGTAGTTGGTCTTGGTGGTGCAAGTGGAGTCAGAATTTGACTTGGATTTGCACAAGAAAATACAGTTGGTGGATGTTTTGGTCTTAACGTTCCGTAAACTAAAACTTTTTCATTGTCTTTAGGCCAATGATCTTCATCCACATTTTTTTTTATTTGGAAGGCGAAAAAGTTTTACAGACTTTGTAACATCATAGTTACCTCTGCATCCAGTGACACAAAACTTAAAAACCATATTTTTCAAATTTAATTATTTAGCTCTAAAGAGAAAGCAAATTTAATATACATAAAAGTAAAACGTATCGCATATTAAATTTGAAACCACATTCATTTTTTAAAACGCGCCATCTTACTTAAACTTTATAAAATTAAAACTCGCCTACAGTTTTTTTTTTAGCCCTATGTTTACTAGGCCTGCCACTATAGTAGGCCATGGTATGTATATATATATATATATGTATATATATGTATATATATATATATATATATATATATATATATGTATATATATATATATATATATATATATATATATATATATATATATATATATATATATATATATATATATACTTTTTATGATTATTTTACTTTATAATTATGTTTTAATTTTTAAGACTAAGATTGAACTAAACAACCTTGAGATCCCTCGTGATGTAATTCGACTGAGCCATAAATATAGAAGTGAATCATACAAACATAAAGGAAGCATTGGTTCACTAAAAATGATTTTTATGTCAGAGACTATTCCTGATGAGTTGATAGACATTGAAAATGAAGGTGTTGTACCTACAAATAAAGCATCTGCTAGCAGGTATAATTTATCTGAAAAGTTATTTTAATTATACTTATTTTTAATAGTAATTTTGTTTTTGTTAATAGTGTGTATATGGCCAAACTATTTATTGTTTTTCAATCAATAGCAATTTTTGTTTTGCAAATTGTAATCTGTTCATAAATTTAAATGAACATTACTTTTGCAGATGCGCAACATTCATAAACTTAGAAATATCATGTTGTTGGCAATTTTAAAATCAAAACTTTCATTTAACTATATTGTTTTTAAGTGGGTGATAAACAGACTGTTTTTTAATCTCATAATATAATCAATTCAGTAAGACTGATTTTACAGTTTCTAAATTAGTTAAATTTTGTAATAATCTTTTGCTGTGTTAGATAAAAACAATCTTAATATTTCAAAAAATTTTCCTATGCATTTCAAAAACATATTTTATATCTAAATATATATATATATATATATATATATATATATATATATATATATATATATATATATATATATATATATATATATATATATATATATATATATATATATATATGTACATACATACATACATACATACATACATACATACATACATACATACATACATACATACATACATACATACATACATACATACATTCATACATACATACATACATACATACATACATACATACATACATACATACATACATACATACATACATACATACATACATACATACATACATACATTCATACATACATACATACATACATACATTCATACATTCATACATATATACATTGATAGTGTTTGCCTTGTTGGGGGTAAATCTGAAAAAATATATATATTTATATATATTATATATATAAACTCTTAAAATTAGGGTCAGCATTTTGCAATGCTGACCTAACAGCCAACTTAATAGTGTTTGAGATCGGCAAAAAACTGCCAACCTCGTTTTTATGTTTTATGGTAACTTCTTTGAGTCAAATTTTGTTTGCCAAGCCAAAGCCGACTTCTAACAGTTTGAGGAAATATAAGGTCAGCAATTTATTGCTGACCTTATATTTCCTAATTCTGAGAGTTGATATATACATGCATATATATACAGGGGCTATTCTAAGAAAATAATTTGGGAGGCAGTACCTCCCAAATTATTTTCTTAGAATAGCCCCTGGAAGTGGAAATATTGCCAAAATTTGGCATTTCTTTGCAAAAAAAAAAGGAGGGACCTCAATTTTTAATTTGGGCAGCGCACAAAAAATGGATATATATATATATAATATATATATATATATATATATATATATATATATATATATAATAGTTTATGTTTATAGTATATGTACAATTAAATATATAAACTTTGAAACTATGTTTAATAAATTTTTTTATAGAGCAATGGGTGGGAATACCACGTTAAGTGAAAACTATGCATTCTCAGGAATGTTTCATATATTTGACCAGCATGCAGATGCAGGTAAGGTCATTTTTTGTTCATGAATTTAGAAGATTTTTTTAGTTTGTTTATCACTGTTGATTTTATTGCAGTTGTTATTTTAAAGGTTTTTTTTAGTTATTTTTTAGTTTATTAAATAATACTATGATGTAAAAACATTAAAAAAATTTTTTTAAAAAGTTAATTTTTTTTTGAAATATATATATATATATATATATATATATATATATATATATATATATATATATATATATATATATATATATATATATATATATATATATATATATATATATATATATATATATATATATATATATATATATATATATATGTATATATATATATATATATATATATATATATATCTATATATATATATATATATATATATATATATATATATATATATATATATATATATATATATATATATATATATATATATATATATATATATATATATATATATATATATATATACTATATTAGTAATATGCATCTGACTTATTCTTATATCAGTAGTTGAAGTAAAATAAAATAAAGAGCATAAACAATTTTTGGAATCCTTTTTATTTTAAATTGATATAAAGATGTCATATACCACTAAAACAAGAAGTAAATCAGCTTGTCAGCTTAGTAACTTAATTGGAAAAAGTTCATAGTTTCTTCCATCAGAACTCCCAACTTCCTGAGATATTCTCAAATATGGCTTATATTTAAGAGAGATTAGTGAAAAAGATTACAGAAACTATACTGTTGATCAACTTGTAAAGGATATTCTTCCAAAAATTTTGTTACAGTGGAAAAAAGCCAATTCTCAATTTGTAAGTCCAGTTATTAATTCTGAAAGAAGAATTAAAAGTAAAGTAAAAGACTTGTGGTTATTAGCCATTAAAGTTAGTAATGGCAATGTAGCCACACCAATTAGAAATAAATTTATGGAAAAACTTGATAAACTTTTCGATTTGTTTACATGCAATTGTAAAATATTTTTTTGCTTAGAAAATAAGAGTGGAGAAAATTGTGACAGAAAAGCTCACATTGTATGTACTTGTAAAAAAGAACAAAAAATTCCTCTTCTTGAGTTGAACTTTGTAAGACATCAAAGAGAAAAAGTTGGAACCAAAGCTATCCTTCAAATAGCTGGCATTGATCGTATTGAAACTCAGAAACAAAGTAAAAAAATTAAACGACATACAATACAAAATCAGGTTTCACAAATAAAAAAATCAAAACTAGACCAGGAGATTGTAAATCAAGAAAATGATTTTTTCTTTCCCGAGAGTGACTCAGATGAAGTCTGTGAAGAGACAAATGATAAAATAAAAATGAATATTTCACAAAAAGTAAAAGAAAAAAATCAATTGTATAACACCATGAATATAAAAAATATAGCATTAGCAAGCTTAAGGCATCATACAGGTTTAAGAGAAACTGCGGAAATAGCAACTGCTGCCCTTATTGATGCTAAAATTATCACTGAAGGAAACACTTGCTTAATTATCGACCATAACAAAGTTAAACAAGCTCAAGAAAAAATTGGAAAAGAACTGACCTCAAAATTCCATAAGGAACTAAACAATAATGGTTTGAGTTGTATTTTTTTGATGGTAGAAAAGATGACACTTAAATTTTTTTTGATGTTAAAGGCAGAAAATTCCCAGGTCTAATAAAAGAAGAACATTATACTGTGTGCAGTGAACCTGGTGGAAATTATCTATTCCATTTTGTTCTTGAAGAATCTGATTTTAAAAGACCTGCTGAGATAATTGCCGATCATTTAATTGAATGGCTTAAAGAAAGATGTTTACATTTGACATTGGAAGCCATAGGTTGTGATAGTAATAATGTAAATACTGGATGGGCAGGAGGAGTAATACAATGGGTTGAAAAAAAACTTAATAAAAAACTTGTATGGATTGTATGTGACCTGCACACTGGGGAACTAGGGTTAAGAAGTCTTATTAAGTTTCTTGATGGTCCTACTAAAGCCAGCCATCATTGGTCAGGACCTCTGGGTAAGATGTTGAACGATGCTACCAACCTTGAAATTAACCCAGAATTTTCTAAAGTGTGTGAAGGCTCTCCACTTATCTACCTCAGTCCTGACATTATCAAAGATCTAAGCACCGATCAGAGCTATGCATAACAAATTGTAAGACATCTCTTAAAACTGGAGTTCTGCCTAAGAGAGAGCATGAAATTGGTCCTGTTTGTCATAGTAGATGTCTAACTACAGCTTTAAGATTTTGCAGAATCTGGGTGTCTAAACATGGATTAACAGGTGACCTTTTAAATAGGTTGAGAATGATTGTTGAGTACATAGTAGGTGTGTATGTTCCTAACTGGTTTAACATCAAAGTAAATTCATGCTGGGTGGAAGGACCAATAAACTTACTTAAACAGATGTAATTATTAAAAAATCAAACTCAGGAGGTAATTGACATTGTTTTACCCACTTTCAAACGATCAGCATGGTATGCTCACCCTGAATCAGTTTTGCAAAGTATGCTCTGTAGTCAAATTGAAGATGAGAGAAAAGAAGCAGTTAATAAAATAGTTAAATTAAGAGGAGCTGGGAATGATGCACTTCAATTTGGAGAATCTTTCCATCATCATGAAAGCAACTTGTTTGTCTGAACTTATAGACTGGAGTGATATTACTGAACCACCTTTAACATGTAATCTATCAACTGAAGCAGTGAAGGAATTTATTAACACTCCAATGAAAGTAACAAAGTAGCCCTCTCATACACAATCTGTTGAAAGATGTGTAAAAATGACAACTGAAAGTGCTTGTCATGTCTTTGGTCAGGCAAGAGGAAATACTTACATTCAAGGTCAAATAGCTAGCAGAGAACTTATGTCAAATAATTCTAGTAAAAAAGATATGGTAAACCTCATTGAAAAGAATTATTTGCCAACTAGTATTTAATTGTGCTTAGTTAGATAACTATGACTTGGACTTGTTGTTTTATGAAATAAATATAAACATATGAGTGTTCAAAAAGTTTTAAGTTTTACATTTTACTCCAAACTCTTTCCAACTAAAGTAATGATCTGATGTATATTTAGTTTTGGTATTACAAATCTGTGTATATACATATGTATATATATATGCTTATATATATATATATGCTTATATATATATATATATGCTTATATATATATATATATGCTTATATATATATATATATATATATATATATATATATATATATATATATATATATATATATATATATATATATATATATATATATATATATATATATATATATACGCTCTGCTTGTTCTCGCAATGTTTATATTTTTTTGGATAAATAAGGAATTACGTTTATCATTAACTGTGTGCTTTATATATATCTATATATATATATATATATATATATATATATATATATATATATATATATATATATATATATATATATATATATATATATATATATATATATATATGTATATATATGTATATATATGTATATATATGTATATATATATATATGTATATATATATGTATATATATATATATATATGTATATATATATATATGTATATATATATATATATATATATATATATATATATATATATATATATATATATATATATATATATATATATATATATATATATATATATATATATATATATATATATTAATAAAGAAAAAACATTTTTTTCTATGGTAATTTAAGCGTCATACCTATACGATAATCATTAGCCATTAAATACATAATCAAAAGCAAAGAAACATGCAAAAAATTACAATTTACTGTGTAGTGAGTTCTTTATGTTGCTTAAAGACACGCTTGATAGCAACAAAGAAAAACAAAACAAAAGATTCACTAATCATCTGTCTCAAAAAAAGTTTTTTTTTTTTTTTTTTTTTATAACATCTAGCAACCACTAGTTAGAGTTGGAAGTTACTCGAAGAGATTATATGAATATTGTAGAGCCAGATAACGATTGACAGATGACTTAAAAGATGGCAAATTATATGAGTCTGGGAAGCAAGGTATAGGAAGCGAATTCTAAAGAACTGATATTCCAGGTAAAACACTAGAGGAATAAAAGTTTTTGAAGCACTTATGAACAGTCACAGAAAAAGGATGAGACTTAATTGAATGGCGAGTAACATAAGAATGAATTTTAGTAGATGGCACAAGAGGCGCTAGCTCTTTAGAGCAATGCCCATTTTACTATTTGTAGGAAAAAGAAAAAGAAGTTAGGGTGTCCCAAAAATGTATCATAAAATTTTATTTATAAAGAAAAATTAAAAAAGATTAAGTTTTTAGCTCGAAAGTTATTTAGATGAATTTACTTTTATATAATAATTTATAATAAATAAATTTTGTTTTAAAATTGATTTTTATTTAGAGTCATTTTTTATTTATGTTTGGACAAAAGCATGGCTAACAATAAGATAAATGATGCGTGTTATATAAACAATAAAAACTAATGATGCGTAAATTTAACTTAAGTCAATGTATAATTAAAGTAGAAATTAAGTTTAAAAGTTGTTTTCAACCAAGAAATTCATCTAAAACACAGGTTTGAATTTGTATATAAAACATAATTACCAGTTTCACTATTTTTTCATTATTAGTTGTATACTATAATCCTTATTCAATCAACTACAACTAAATGTGTTTAATGCAGATTTTTTAAATAAACTAAATTGATTTTAGAAAATATGGTCAAATTCGGGAATATGGACAATAAGTTTTGTGCAAATGCTCACAGGGCACAAGAAAAAATCATTAAGATGTCTGAGAAAATCCAAAGACATGAAGATGAAAATAAGAAAAAGGATTTGTTGCTATTCAGATGGTGACTTTTCAAGCACAGATAGTGACTATCAAACTGAGTGCAACAAACTATATTTACCTTCAGCTAAAGTCCGGAAAAAGCAGAAAAGATTTCAGAGTGACATCAAAGTTTGCCTTCAGTCAAGTATGAAGATATTCTTAACAATTGGATTCTAATTATGACCAGATTTGGGATTGGAGTC